CCCCCCCCGTTCACAGATCTGGGGAGCACAGGTCCCATCTACCCCCTGGAGTGTGCACAGTGACGGGGAGCTGGCCACACCTCTCCACCCTCTGAATGAGCCGCCTGCAGCCCCGTCTTGCTACCCACCAGGGCCCTGAGGCTGCGAATTGCGGTCCTGGGCTCCAAGCCTCATGCACCCCCTGGCTGGGCAGCAGCCCCAGCTCCAGCCCTGCCCTACTCCCTCCCTCCCTATGGAGGTCTCAATGGCCCCCACTCCACTTACCTATGGGGGCTGCTCTCCAGGCTGCCTGATGGCCACGTGCATATACAGGGACATGGCGCCGCCCCCTTACCTGACCACCCTGCTTCTGCTCCCTCCCTGCCCCTTGCAGGCTATAACTCAGCCAGCCTGCAGACAGCTCTTTGCAAAACTGCAAAATCCATGGGTTTCTCCGGTAAGATGAGAAATCCACATTTGCCTCCGGTAAAAGGTAAAATCCACCATTTTCTCCATTTTCTTCATGGGAAATGGAAAACCCGGATCCCTGCTCATCAGCTGTTGTCTCAAAGACCAGAAACTGCTCTATGTTCCCAGCTTCCAATGGCGTGTGCTGGGGGGACAGTTTTGAACATTGCTCCCTAACCCACAGGAACTGTGGCAGACCTGGGTCCGGGACAGAGCCACACCAGTGCGCTGGATGCTCTGACAGTTTACTGCTGGGCAAACTGTCAGGAAGTCAGCTACTCTCATTCCCTCCCTCCCGCTTGGCAGGCAGAAAGGAGAGCAGGAAACTGTGGGATAGTAGTGAACAAAAATACCTGTTCACATGTAAATTTATCCCAGAAAGCCTTTCCAGTTGTTGATTTAAATAGCAACTTTTTTTTGTTGCAGATCCACTATTTTAGGGTTGGAATGGCCATTTTTTAATAGGACAAAAACCCTGAATGTGTGGCCACAGACTATAGGCACCAACTTTTATTTGTGCTGGTGGGGGGTAAGATGATGGATTTACGGAAAGTTTTATACATTGCAGATGACAGCCCTCTTCCCAAGTGGGCCCAAGGCTCTCAGGCCCCCACGTACACAGTGCCTCTGGCACAGACTTTTTGTTGTTCTAAAACAACACATAAAAGTGGGTCAAATTAATATCTATCTAAGCCTCTAGTGACTCGTAAATGTCTGGCCTGTAGTTATTTGAGGATTTAAGCAGCTGATGTTGATGCTATTTAAGGTAGAATCAGGTGAGCCCTAGCATCTCTTCTCTCTCCCCCCTTAAAGATTTTTTTCCAGTTTCCTCCTAAATAGTGTATTTTGTTTACATTCAGCTGATAACATTCCTGCAGTTTGCAGAATTTATTTTCACACAGAAGCTTTTTGCTTTTATTAGGTTCATTGGGAGCCAAACTAAATGAGCTCAAGCAGAAAGTTGTATCAGAGAATCCACAGGAGTATGGTGTTGCAGTTCCACGTAAGTGAAATCTACAGAAGTCTCTATTTGTGAATCATTCTGTGAATTATGCTCAGTAGTAAAATTACTAGTTAAAATGCTGTTCAGTAATCTATTACCATTCTTATCCTCATTTATGTGCATCTTTAGGACATAGCTTATTTCCTTTCCACCCCTTGAAAGCATTTCCTTCTCTGAACAGCCCAGTTCATATAACTTCCCCCTCTGGCACATGGACAGAGTCTGGAATCTTGTCAACTGAATCAATTTTTTGCATTACATTTTCCTAAGTGAACAGATTGATTTTTCTCAGTACCCATAACAGAAGTGACACTGAATTACTAGGAAATGAAATTAGATTGTAACTTTCAAAAGTTGGAATAAAAATGAAACATTTTGGAAAATTCAGCAAAAAGGAAACTTAGGCTTCACTGTTCTTTGTCAAAATGGTGTTTATCTATAGACTCTTGTTTCTTCAGTTAAATTAGGGAGAAAAATATTTATCTTAAGTAGAGAGCAGTGAAGCAGATCAGTTCCTGTTTAGTACTCTGAAGTCTTGATTAGCATATTAATTCTGTTCATACACAACAACAGCCACTTGCAAATTGGAATTTAAAAAACTATTCCAAAGAGTGGTGGTAGTGCTTTTATGATGTATAGATTAATAGTGCAGATGGATGGTGATAATGTCTGCTGATCCAACATTGACATTATTAAAGAAGTTTTCTAAATAATGCAAATAACTACCTCAAGATCCAAACCTAGCTTAGGGTTCTGTCATCCACTTCTGTTATCCAAAAAATTTAAATATGTCAATGGCACTTACATTTAGACAGCAGGGCTGTGCGTGCATGTGTGTGTGTAACTTACACTGTTGGCTTTAACTTTCTTTTTCAATAGCCCTTTATTGAAGACCTACATTGTACACTAGTAATTACTTCTAAATTTGAATGTAATGTTTAATTGTCACATTTGAAGTGCATGTGCATATATTTTCAAGAGCAGCTTGTCTTTGTATGTATTTGGATAATGGTCAACAGTCTTCTGTTGAAGTAATGAGAATAAAGAGAAGAAATGGCAATTTCAAAGCTAGGGAAAGAGGCAGTTTAATTAGTAGTACAGGCAGTCCTTGGACTTACAACATAATTGGTTCCTGAAAACCGTGTCTTAAGTCAAAACGTTGCAACTCAGAACCAATTTTCTCACAAGAAACAATGTTATAAATGGGGGGACTGGTTCCTGAACCAAGGCCCAATATCCTGTTTTCACCAAAAATAACCCAGTATTTTGTACTGGATCAATTATAGATGAGTAATATAGGTACATTATTGTATTTATATTGTAAATATCAATCATATTGATTTGGAAGGACTTCTTTGAGGTGACTTTGCTGGACTTTTTGAAAGGCACTTAGTTGGACTTTTTGAAGGGTTCTTGGCTGGAGACTCTTCAGGAGTCTTGGCTGCAGGCTTTTCTGGAGTCTTGTCTGCTTTCTTAAAGAAAGTGTCCAAGGAAGTTTGGACAGATGTTCTCCAGGAAGATGAGCGATGCAGTGAACTTGTTCACTGGCGTGGCGTCGCATCGGATCAAGCATTGTAAAGTTGAAACTCATGTCATAAAGTTGAAACGGTGTCAATTTATAAACATTGTAAGTGTGAAATAACAGCAAGAAGAAGTCATCAAAATGATACAGGAGATAATCAGGTAGATAATTTAGCAGTACTAGGAAATGAGCCAAGCTATAGTAAGGAGGTAAACAGAAAATTCAACAAAAAGAGGGGAAAGGGAAATGCAGACAAAATATCCAAGGTGAAATGAAAAGGTTCATATTGTGATTCTTTTTTTTTCACTTTGCTTCCTGAACTCTAGTTCCTGATTAAATAAATATTACTGCAACATTGGTCCTAATGAACACTCAGCTAGCAATCTAATTTTTTTCTTCTATGAGGTCTAGGATGTTCTTAATATATCTCTACAGTGCTTGTGTATATGCAGAATTTCTCAGCACAGTAGAATGTGTTCATCTTCAGGGGCGGATCCAGGGGGGAGCAGTGGCGCAGCTGCACCTACCTTTTGGATTAGCATGTACCACAGGAGCCTCCCGGGGCTTTTTAAAGCTCCTAAGATAGGTGAAAATCCTCCCTCTCTTCCCCTTCCTGTTCAGAGGCATGCCCCCTTCCTACCTCTTCCCTCCCTCCTTTACATGCCTTTCCTCACTGTCTCCAGGGTTGGGGAAGGCACCAGAGCTGTTTCTGCTCACTACATAGAACAGGGGCAGGGAATTAATTTGGGCGGAGGGCTGCTTACTGAGTTTTGGCAAGCCATCAAGGGCTGCATGATAGGCAGCCAAGGACAGATAAATATTAATTTTCTAAAATTTTCAGGGGCCCTGCGGGCCAGATAGAATGGTCTGGTGGGCCACATTTTGCCCACCCCTGGCATAGAGGCTGGGACAGGGACAATGGCAGCAGGGATGCATGGGGGGGTTCCCCTTCCTAGTGCCTGCTCTGGGACTGGGCAGGGTGGAGGGAACTAATCTCCAGCTACCTTGTTGCTGCTGTCACCTCCCTAACTGAGCCCAGTCCCTGCATAGTCCAGCTGGTTCTACAGCTTCCCTACCCCTGAATAATGGGCAAAGGAGAAGCAGTAGGCAGAGGAGTGGGAAGCATGGAGGGGTGGGGGGAAGAGGAGTATTGGGGACATGTGTCTGAGCAGGAGAGTGGAGGGGCATTTTCACTGGCTTTAGGGTCTTAAAAAGTCTCCAGCAGCTCCCACCACACAGTCTGCCCCCAGTGGGGGCAGAGGAGGTGGGGATCAGGGAGTGCAGCTTCCCCTGCAGTGTGCCTTGCTGCTCCTGCCCCTCCCTTTGGAAAATCCTGAATTCATCCCTATTCACTTTATTATTTTCTACAGTCTTTTATCCTAACTTGAAGCAGTGGGTCAACACTTCAAACCAGGGGTGATCAACCTTTGCCCATGGGCCAAATGTGGAGCCTTGGAATCTGGCCCACAGGGCTTGCCACAGGTTGGGAAATTTGGCAGTGGTGGAGCAGTGATAGTACTGCCAACCCTTCTCTGCTGCCAAAATTCCAAGCCCTGGGGAGTGGGTCTGAGCTAGGCCATGACCCTCCCCTTGCACAGTGAGATCAGAGCCAAGCCATGACCTCTTCCCTTCAAGCCACTGGGTGGGGCTAAGCTGCACCCCCATCTCCCCATGGCTCAGGATACACTTACTGCCCCCTGACACACAGGGCCAGGTTGGGTTGGGCCATGCCCCCTTCCTTCTGTAGGACCAGGCCATGTCCCCTCACTCTGTGTGACTGCTT